ATCCTTCCAAATTTGGCCTAATCATGCTCTTTTTGTACCAATTTCCATTAATTCGAATTGATCTTGCAAGCTCAGCATATCTTGGTTTCTAACCTGTAAAAAAAAAATCAAATCATATCTTTGATAATTTTCATCATTTATTTGATTTAATTCACTTTTTAATTAATGAAAAATCAAAATAAATTGAAAAATGAAGAAAATAATTTGTGGATAAGTATTTGAGTCGTGGACCACATTATAATTGAGGTGCAAGCATAAAAAGTTGGGCCCATTTAGCAAAAAATGCAAATTTGAGCACATTTGACTTTTGGCAATTTTGCAAAAATGGCCAACTTGGCCAATGCATAACTCTCTTAATTTTGACCCTAAAGAGGTGTTCTGGGACTTTTCAGAAATCTTAGGATGTCCTTTAAGAAACCCTTTTGGTCTCATCTCAATTGAGTCTTCCATGTTCATGTATTAAGCTTTGACCCAAAAGGTGTTTTTGTTGACTTTTCAAGAGGATCTATAATGTCAAAATTCATATCTTTTTATGAGTGCATATTCTGAACTTGGGGGCTGAAGATGAATTGTAGGGAATTGCATCCTCTTCAAAATGAGCTTTGGATGGGTCATTTCTGATAAAGCATGAGAAATTTATGCTTGGTCAAAGTTGAGTTGACTTTTCCTACAAAACCCTAATTTAGCAACTTTTGGGTTTTGATGAATTGTGAGCAATCCTTGAGGAATCATGATCAAACCTTGATAAAATGATGAATAATACCTCAAAATGAGGATGTTGACCAAAAATCTTGAAGTTTGACTGTATGTGGGCAACAATTGACTTTTGACCTAGTACAGTTGATTTTCAGGCATTTAAGCAATTGAGTGAGCAAACTTCTTCTGCAAGGCTTGAAAATTGACATGGATGATCTTGAGGACATATTAGGACAATGGTGAGAATTTGGGTCCTTTTTGGTTCACACATCTTGATGAATATGGAAACCCTAATTTGAGGTAGACTGCCTTAGGAGAGAGTTTGTCTGGTCAACTCTTGACCTTCCTTGAGCAATTTGGGTACCTCACTTGCCATGTGTTGAGAAATATGGGAGGGGAAATTTTGGGGTACAACAGCTTCCCCTATTCAATCTTCTTAAACCTGAGGATGTAGATTGGCTCATCTGCCTTTCGTGATCTGAAGGTGGAAGATGATTGAACACTAGAGTGCCCAGAAATTTGCACTCGCATGAAGTGATACTTGATTTGTGATATCGAGAATGGGCTTATAAACACCATTTGGTAGTTGCTAGAGAATTGTCAGAGATGGGCTTAAATATGCCATCCAAAGGAGTGTCGATCGCATAAGAGATTCCTTTGCGAGAGCCCGTATACCTGTTGTTGAGGAGGACTTCGAAGGGGAATGCTGGTATCTGTCTTGAGAGGAATAGAGTTTTAGGAGCTTCGATTGTCCGTTACTCTACTGGGGAATATTTCTAGTTTGGGAAGCGGAAGTGAACTGTGTGTTTGGTCGGGGTATATTCTGCACCGCAACTTTCTGGGTAAATGTGAAATCAATTGTGTTTGATCAGGTCCCGATCATACAGTGTTGTGGACTGCTATCTGGGGATAAGAGAGGAAGAACCCAGATAGTAAGGTTATGAGAAGGAACCTAGATAGTAGGGTTAATTCGATATGAAAATCTGGATAGTAGGGCTGTGAGAAGGAACCTGGATAATAGGGTTACTTCGATATGAAAGCTTGGATAGTAGGGCTGTGAGAAGGAACCTAGATGGTAGGGTTACTTCTATATGAAAACCTAGATAGTAGGGCCGTGAGAAGGAACCAGGATAGTAGGGTTACGTCGATATGAAAGCCTGGATAGTAGGGTTGTGAGAAGGAACCTGGATGGTAGGGTTACTTCGATATGAAAGCATGGATAGTAGGGTTGTGAGAAGGAACCTGGATGGTAGGGTTACTTTGATATGAAAGCCTGGATAGTAGGGCTGTGAGAAGGAACCTGGATAGTAGGGTTACTTCGATATGAAAGCCGAGATAATAGGGCTGTGAGAAGGAACCAGGATAGTAGGGTTACTTCGAGATGAAAGCCTGGATAGTAGGTGAAATAACCGGCTGAAAATCATCAAAACAATGAAGTCGCCATCGAACGTCTTTTATCCCACTTGTAGGGAAAGGTAAACATCGAGAAAACCTGATGAGGGAGAAGTCACGGTCTTGCGACCGAGAGATCGGGTAAGGGAGTCTGTTACGCGAGGGGAAGGTATTAGCACCCCACACGCCCGTAGTACTCTACGATATCCACTCTTGTTATCTATCTTATGGGTGTGTTTAATCTATGCTTACTATTTACTATACTACTGGAGGGAAAATGCATGCAAAAGAAAGGAGAAAAGAATGTAGGGAAAATAAAATTGTGCTCGCTTGGGCCCTACCCCAATGCCTACGTATTCGTTTTGAGGAATCAGAGCTACCGTAGTTTGGCTCATATGTTTTTGTTTGTTTGTGTTTTTTGTGGACGAAGTTAATTCCGCCTTCTGCCGTAGCTCGACCTTTGGAGACTTACGCGTTGGCACAAAAGTAAATTAATCGTTTCCTTACCTGAAAAGGGTTTTTTAAGAAAGGTGCTCGAGCGCACAAAAGATTTGAATTGGTTTATATTTTGTTGTAGATGTTTTTTTTATGGACGAAGTTAATTCCGCCTTCTGCCGCAGCTCGACCTTTGGAGACATATGCGTTGGCACAGAAGTAAATTAATCGTGTCTTTACTTGAAAAGGGTTTTTTAAATGAAAGGTGCTCGAGCGCACAAAATGGTTTGAATTTGTTTTGTATTTTTGTTGCAGATGATGACTGATTGACCTCAAGAGAGAGATATTAGCCATTTTTCTACTTAGTTATGAAAGGAGTCTTTGAGAATTGAACCACACCTATGTTTGAGATGAAGAACAGTAAGATCGAGAAGAGACCCGCTTATCATTTCCCGTACTAAGCAAAAGCATGATTCTCATCAGTAGTTTTAAAGTGTTTTGAATTTCGAAAAGAAAAAAAGAAGTTTTAGTTTTAAATGCGTATGCAAAAAGGAAAAAAGTCAAATGGGACTAGCTTACTTCTAAACCTAATGTTATTGTGCGTTAGTAGCCCTAAGTCAAGGATGAATGAAAGGGAAATTTATACCTAATGTTAGCATGCATATGGATTGCGATAAAGTACATAAATGAAAAATAGAGTTGTGACGATACCGAACGGAGGAAGTCCATTTCCTCCTCAAAATTGTGCAAGTGGTAAGAAAATTCTATCAAAGTTTCCTTGGGAGAGCGATTGAAGAATCCACCCCGAGCATTCCACATTGCAAGAGTTATGTCGATGCTATCACAAAAATCTTGAATAGAAAATGGAAATAAAAATGATTACCAAATATGAAAAATAAAATAGAAAAAATTCTAATAGAAATTCTAAAAAAGAAATTCCAAAGAATTCTAAAATATTCTATTGTTTCATTTTATTATCAATTGAGAGAAAAATTAAACTAAAATAAAAACTGAAATAATAATAAAAACAAGTTAGAAGAGTCAGGGGATATGAAGTCTAGAAATATGGGTGCTGAAGTAATGTGATGCATAGCCCAATAGCAAGGGTCCAAATTATTTCTTTTTGTTCAGAAACCAAGAGATATACCAAAAAATATGGTAGCGCGCCTGAAGAGAGTGAGGTTAGGTCCATTCCATCACTAATCCCTCTTACAACAAAAAACTCATATTTATTTTGTATTATTTCAGCATTGTCTAAGAAAAAATATAAAATAGAAATTGAAGTAAAAATAAAATAAAAGGGAGGATACGGTGTCGTTGCTGCTTAGGGTTAGCATTATGACTTTTAAGCTTCTGCGAACAAGGATTCATTCCCTTCTTACTCAATTCCGAGTCGCCGCGCCAATCTCACCATTCCCTCATTACCGGCGATTTCTTCCTATCTCCGCCTATCTCTTCCATCGATTTTCGAAACGATGAGACTCGCTTCGCAATCGCCGTTGATAAATCGTTGCTCCGCTAACGGATGAAGCTTCCGAGATCCGGCATGGTGTTGTTGACGGAGTTACTTGGCGGAGACTCGTCATTTTTGTTTCTCTTCTTCTACGCTTTGGCTTCATAATCCGGCCTTCTTCGACTCCGTCATCTCACCTCTCTGCTTCAAAGCTCCGCTTGATTCGCTTCTCTTCGTCGTGGATTTGATCGATCACTACACCCACCGTCTTCGTTCCTCTCTTCTCAGTCGGAGTCGCTCCGACAACAATTTGAATGCAAGAGTGAAGCCAGAAATCCAGAGATGTGAATTCAGGTGCGCGTTTCGTTTCTGAATCGCTTTGTTTCGTGTATTTCTCTTCTCTTCGTCGTGGTATTGTAGGTGTGGAGGTTTCTTGCTGCAGATTTTGTTGTAGAAGATGCCTGAAGAATAAATGTTAATGCCTTTAAGATTTGTTGTTGTTGAAGGTTGATTAACAAGTCGATGAAGATGTCGGTGGTGATGATGAACAATCAAGCTGTTGCGGTTGTGGAAAATGATGCTCTATACTTGAAGATTGATGAGAAAATCAAGATGAAGTGAAGACCTTGTTGAAGGTTGAAGATGAAGGTGGTGATGATGATTTCATGATTTTTTCAGAGAGAAAGGTTGGAGAGTTTTCTGGTTTTTGGTGATTCTCCAAGGTGAAGAATGAAGATGAGAGGAGAAGAGAGAATTTTGGTGTTTACCTTTGACGCCTTCGGAGATGCGGAACCGTGAAAACCAGAGATGAGACTCCTACGCTGATTACGAGTATAGATTGCTTCTGTTTCTTCCATCTTTCCGCTCCTTTATATTTTATCAATAACCTGTGTTGATGTTGTTATGCAGGAAATTATCGCACCGATCTTGCTGTGTGAAGAGTATCAAAGCGAGGATGGAGATGAATGGAAGATGCACAAGAAATCATTTTTGACGCATTTAGAGATGATGATGCAGGGGTGCAATGAATATTGACACGCTGGTGATGCGGAAGAAACTTGCAGATAATGAAGGTGCTGATGACGAATACTGCAGATTGTTGAAGGCTTCTGAAGGTGGAAGATAAAAAAAATAAGAAATAATGGTAGAGTTTGCAGAGAATTTGAGGGAGAGAAATCGGGAGTGAGGATGAAGAAAGGTTGCTGGTGGATGAAGGTGAGAGAGAGATTGAAACGCCAGCTCCAGTGAGAGATCCATAATTCCTCTTTTGTTGCGTAAGTTTCCAGCTGAATTAGAGAATTTTTGTTAGCGATTTTTTTCTTGAGTCTGTTAACCATTAGTTAACAGTTCAGTTAGAGGTTGTTATGAAGTTAGTTAGAGTTTGGTTAACAGTTAGCTTTCTGTTATGGTATGAAGTTGATGAGCTGGCATCGGTTATGGTAGTTATAGGGTGGTTAAGAAGTTTTGGTTGTAACTGTTTTTTGGGTTGGTTAAGTTAGAAAAACTGTTATAAACTCTTTTTTATGTGCAGGGTTATTTTGGAATTGGATTTTTATGAATTTTAAAGTGAAAGCAGGTTACTTAATTTTCCTCTAGTTAAGGCAGTCTTGATATTAATCACCTCTTTTTCCTTTATGCTTGAATAGGTTTGGAAGTGGAGAAGTTGCAAAGGCACAGTTAAGCCATGAAGTAATAAGCATGAAGATTGGTCGTGGAATTAGAAGAATGAGAGTGAAGATGGATAAGTTTTGCATAGGTTTAAGAAGGGTTAACAAGTAGTGAGCTGACTTTGGTCAAAACTTGTAATATTTTTATGTAATTCTGTTTGTTTGTGGTAATGGTGTAAATGGACATTATTTTGAATACAATCTTGTAATGAATATCGTGTAATGAAATAATATTCCCTTGAATAAAATTCGAAACTCTTTTTCCTCCGGATTGTATTTGAAATTCTATTTTCCACTTCAAACTTGCAAGCTCGAGTAAGAACCATGTGGTGGTAAGGAAAAAGCCCAATTTTTTTAAGGACTTTGGTTAAAAGATTTAAACATTTGATGTGATATTCTAATTCCACCATTTCTCCCCAAACTCTTGAATAAGGTTCAAAATACTGACTTGTAACCCAAATAACCAAGCCGACCATACTTTGACAAATGACAAAATCCAATGAAGCCCTAACGTTGAAATATGCCATATGATAGCCCCAAAGAAACCCAATTTCACTTATTCATGCTCATAGAATAAGACTTTACCCAACGAGCCTCTTGATCACCCTATGAACAGGGAAATAAACCCTAACTTCCAAAGATAAGTGCTAACACACTAAAGAAACATCTCACTTCATGAACCCAGAGATTTTTCTTGTCTAAGTTTAAAGCCTTTTGAAAGAAGTCCAGTTGAAAGTCCTACATCATAAGTAACAATGAAGTTACCCCTCACATGATGAACAAGCCCAAGCACTGAGAACAAACCCAAGATGATTATAAGACCAAACCCCAAGATTTATCTGATAATTACAAGCATAAGGAAGCAAACCCTTAATCCATGATTAATGAGAACCTCAGCTAAAAGCAACCTTCATAATATGGAACCTCGATTTTAAAAACCATGGATCCAATGCTAAGCTTATTGATTAATGATGCATGACGTGTCAAATGACCTAATGTTGTGTATGCACATGAAATGAAGAGTGCAAGATGCGTAAGCTAGATAAAGGCAAAGGGGTAGGACAAATTTGGGGTATTACAGCTGCCCCTATTTAATCGTCTTCAACCTGAAAGTACGATTGGCGCGTGCCTTTCGGAAGTTCAAGGTTGAAGATGATTAAATACCAATTCCGAAAATTTTTCCAGGGAGGAAGAGTAAGTGTTTTCTTTATTTATTTTTGTGTTATCTGCTGGGGAAAAGAAATTTGTTTTTTCAATGAAGGGACAGAGATTGGACTTGTAACATGGCGTGATGCCAATACAAGACAAATGGTTGGTATGAGGGGACAGCGGACGAGGTCTACGGGCGACCTACGATCCTAAGGTTACACATGAGAGTGATTTGACAGAGAACCTAGCCAAAGGGCGATCTCAGGTTCTAAGACAAAGTAAATGGAAAGAACCTAGCCAAGAGGCGATCTCAGGTTCGACGATGACTTGAGGGAAGAACCTAGCCAAGAGGCAATCTCAGGTTCGACGAAGGTTTGAGGGAAGAACCTAGCCAAGAGGCGATCTCAGGTTCGACGATGATTTGAAGGAAGAACCTAGCCAAGAGGCAATCTCAGGTTCGACGATGATTTGAGGGAAGAACCTAGCCAAGAGGCGATCTCAGGTTCGACGGTGATTTGAAGGAAGAACCTATCCAAGAGGCGATCTCAGGTTCGACGGTGATTTGAAGGAAGAACCTAGCCAAGGGGCGATATTAGGTTCGACGATGATTTGAGGGAAGAACCTAGCCAAGAGGCGATCTCAGGTTCGACGATGATTTGAAGGAAGAACCTAGCCAAGAGGCGATCTCAGGTTCGACGATGATTTAAGGGAAGAACCTAGCCAAGAGGCGATCTCAGGTTCGACGATGATTTGAAGGAAGAACCTAGCCAAGAGTAGATCTCAGGTTCGACGAAGGAAACATGGGTTATGACATGATGATTGTTTTAGATAAGCGACACGGACGAGCATCAAGAAAGTTTAAACACGGACGAGTGTTTGAATCAATACGGACGAGTATTGAAAGAAGATACGGACGAGTATCCAAGGTTAAACATGGACGAGTGTTTGAATCAATACGGACGAGTATTGAAAGGAGATACGGACGAGTATCAAAGGGTAAACACGGACGAGTGTTTGATTCAATACGGACGAGCATTGAAAGGAGATACGGACGAGTTTCAAAAGGTTAAACACGGACGAGTGTTTGAATCAATACGGACGAGTATTGAAAGGAGATACGGATGAGTATCAAAAGGTTAAACATGGACGAGTGTTTGATTCAATATGGACGAGTATTGAAAAAAGATACATGCAAGTATCAAAAGGTTAAACACGGACGAGTGTTTGATTCAATACGGACGAGTATTGAAAGAAGATACGGACGAGTATGTTAGAACAATGTTTGAATCTAGTACCCTATATTTAAGTTTTGATGATAACAAAGTGAAAAGATATAGTATTTATATGTTTCATGTTTGAATTATATGCTGCCTAAAATTACTATGCTCTGACTTGCAGATATGCTGATTAAAATAAGCAAGATCTCTTATTCAGCATCAGAACTTGATTTGATACACCAGCATCAGAAGTTGCTGAATCAGAACGTGAAGATCAGATGATCAACTCACGTACATGCTGAAGCTTGATGAACAGAACTGCGCGTAAAACACTCTGATACAGAAACAAATAGTTCATCAGCAGCGAAGCAGAATCAGAATGAGCCAAGCCAGAACGTGCATTGAAGAAGCAACGGTACTGTGCATTGAACGCTAATTAATTCCAACGGCATCATTCTAGACAAGATCTGCTCAAAAAGGAAAGCTTGTTATTAGCATTGAATCAAGAATATTTGCTTCAACGTTCATCTTCTCAAATGCTATATAAACAAAGCTTCGAAGATTATCATGGCTAATGCTCTCCAATTCTCTACACGCACAAAGCTGATCAATAATCTTCATCTACCAGTTTTGCTAAACCAACAAACTCTGATACTCCATTAGTGTTTACCATTCTAAGTTTCTAAGCTTAATTTGTGTATACATCACAGTTGTGATATAGTTTTGTAGAAAACATTCACACACATTTGTTTATACCTTTGTAAGAAAGTGTTGCCTTGACAAACCGGATTGTGGTTTGAATCAAGAAGGCTTTAGCAGTTGTTAAAGCAGATTTGTATTCAGTTGAATATAGTAAATTAAGACCTCGTTGGAGAGAGGCGAAATCACCTTGACGGGTGGACTGGAGTAGTTTGAGATCAAACGAACCAGGATAAAAATATCTTGTCATTTGCTTTAAGATTTCAGTTTTACAATTCAACCCCCCCTTCTTGTGTTTTTCACCCCTTCAATTGGCATCAGAGCGCCTGGTTCTGAGCTAAAACACTTAACCGTGTCAGTACAAGATCCAGCGTCAGAAAAACACAATGGCAAGAAACAACTCTCATTTCAGCAATGACAACAATGAGGATAGAGACAGATTTAGCGGCAAACCTCCAGTCTTTGATGGAGAAAACTTTGATTACTGGAAAGATAGAATTGAAAGCTTCTTTCTAGCACATGATGCTGATCTGTGGGATATGGTGACAGATGGATACACGCACCCTGTGAATGCAACTGGTCAGAAGATTGAAAGAAAATCAATGACTGATCAACAAAAGCGTGATTTCAAGAATCACCATAAGGCCAGAACCATCCTCCTCAGTGCCATCTCCTATACTGAGTATGAAAAGATCTCCAACAGAGACACAGCTAAGAACATCTTTGATTCTCTCAGAATGACGCATGAGGGCAACGTTCAAGTCAAAGAAACAAAAGCTCTGGCGCTCATTCAGAAGTATGAGGCGTTTAAAATGGAAGAATCTGAATCCATTGAAACTATGTTCTCCAGATTCCAGATTCTGGTAGCTGGTCTCAAAGTTCTGGACAAAGGATACTCTACTGCTGACCATGTCAAGAAGATAATCAGAAGTTTACCCAAGCAGTGGAGGCCTATGGTTACTGCTCTGAAGCTGGCGAAAGATCTCAACAAAATCACTCTGGAGGAACTTATAAGCTCCCTCAGAAGTCATGAGATAGAGCTAGAAGCTGATGAGCCTCAGAAGCAAGGTAAGCCTATAGCTTTAAAATCTAACAGAAAATCTGAATCTAAAGTTTTGCAGGCAGTTGAAGAAACATCTGATGGATCCTCATCAGAAGAAGACGAACTTTCCCTTCTCTCCAGAAGAGTAAATCAACTGTGGAAGCAAAGACAAAGGAAGTTCAGGAATCCCAGAAGATCTGATCAGAACGAGTCTTCTTCCAGATACAGAAGGACAGATTCTTCCTCTGGATACAGAAGATCTGAAGGCTCCTCCGGTAGCAAGAAGCCAAATACAAAAGACATCATCTGTTACGAGTGCAATGAGCAAGGACACTACAAGAGTGACTGCCCAAAGCTTCAGAGGGAAAAGCCCAAAAAGAAGTTTGGAAGAGAGAAGAAGAAAAGTCTCATGGCCACATGGGATGACTCTGACTCGTCTGAAGCTGACTCAGAATCAGATGATGAAAGGGCAAACATAGCGCTCATGGCTAACATTCCAGATGACAGTGAAGCTTCTGAATCAGACTCAGAATCAGACACAGAAGAGGTATTCCCTAACTTCGCTGTTAATTTTACAAAGGCTGAACTTGCTGAAAGCCTCAATGAAATTATGGAACGTTATCAGCAGATTAGAGCTAAATTCAGAGACCTGAAAAGGACTCTTGAATCTGACTCTAATAAGTCTGAGAGTCTCAAATTGGAAAACTCTGAGCTGAGAGATAAAATTTTAAAATTAGAAAACTCTTTACAAAACTCTCAGAAGGAACCAATTCCTGAAACTCCCAGCAACGCTGATGAGATCATCAAGGAGTATGATCATAGTTTCCAGAAGTTCCTTGCTAAAAGCATAGATAGAAGCAGAATGGCTTCAATGATCTATGGAGTTAGCAGAAACGGCAGGAAAGGAATAGGATACCTAGGTAAGGTTCCTACACCTAAGAATGTCATGGATTTAACCATTAAACACACTCCTTTAAATTCACACTTTGTGTATGGTCACACACA